TTAATCTTTTCTCAATGCCAGACATAGAAATTAATGAGGAAACTTTTTTTTTTTTTACAAAGTGTAGAAAAAAAAGTTTATTAATTGGAAATTGTTTCATGAAAAATAAAGGTTAAAAATCTTATTTTTACTCTTATTTTGTTATAATATTAAAGTGTAAAAATATGTAAATAATCTTATCAATGTAAAAGTTGAGAGGGAAACTGCCCTTCCCAATCATACATACGATTAGGATTTGTTTGCTTCGAGGGAAATAAAGGGAAAGGAATAGACATTTCTTTCTTCTAATTTAATATATTAAAATGAATGATACTTATTAGTACACATTTTAATTTAATATATTATATAATATATTTATTTAAAAAATTATTATTTTTTGTTTACAATTAAAAATAAATTAATTTAAAAATACAATTATACATATAAAATATAAAAATTAATTAAATTAATTATATTTATATTTTTTTAATTACTAAAATAGATGGTATCAAAAAGAATATGAACCCAATGTATACTAATCATTTTTCCAAAATGAATAAAGAACATATAAAAATTTCTTTTCTCTCCTCCACTTTAATTTTTTTTATTCACATAAAAGAATTTTGTGCGCTCTCCTCTATTTCCCTAACGCGAAACAGGCTCAAGAATTCACCTTCTCCGGCAACTGGGATCTTGGACGGCAAAAGTTTTTTTTTTTTTTTTTCTTTTTCGTGTATGTGTGTGGTGGTGACGGGGACAAAAACTTCGTTTAATAATTGAAAAGAGGGCCTGTAAATGTCGACAGATTCCAAACATATTGAACGGAAAGGAAAGCAGAACATGTAATTTGTATGTGGACAAGGAAGACAGAGAAATTTAAGGGGTATATTTTTTTTTTTGGTACATTAAGGGGTATATTTTTAATATCAATGAAATTAATGTTAAAGTATGGGCAAACTAATTGAAGTTGCCCTAACATAGTGGAATAAAAAAAATGGGGGTCGAAGTGAATGGACATACTGAAGGTTTTTGGAAGTCGAAATACAGAGATAAGACAAGCGTACCTTTACTCTGAATCCAACCGGTAATTACATTGAAGGATAAATTGAGGATTCTTAGCTCCTTGAATGGCTGAAACAAGGAAACATTTAAATACCAACTATTTGTGTGATCATATATGCTAAAAGAAGAAATATCAAACTGCCTAGTGTTGTTGAGAGTAAGCTCGATCACATGGCCTTTTGTGGAGTGGTCGCAGGTGACCCTCTCCCATTTACAACAGTCATCCTTTGGGTCAGTAAGATTAACCCATGAAGGAAGCAGGTCGTCAGCATCGTGGCCTCCTGATTTAACGAAGGCCTTGAATTCTAAAAGAGCCATCTTCTCCTCCTCAAAACAACCTTTGATTCCATGGATGCAAACCAAAAAGATTAGACCCAAAATTTTGTTCATGGCTGGAATGGAGAAGCTAGCAGAGAATGTTGCTTCACTGGGTTTAATTGTGCTGTGGCTTTCGATTTATATATTATTAATCTCGTTTTACCGAAGGAAACAAAACAATTCTTGTTACAACTACCGACATTAATAAAAATTCAAGTCGTCGTTGACGACATGTATGGCCACTTGAAAGTAAGTTTCCCTCTAGTTAAGCAAGAAATCGCGAGGAATCGCGAGTTTGAATTATACACAGTGTTAATGGTTGGTAAAGGAATAAAATAAGATCACCTCTAACATATAATTTAAAATAAAAAATAAAACTTATCTCTATTATTTTTGTTTCCTTAAGCGGTGTCTGTCTTCAGCTGCAAATTGTTGTTATTATGTCTCATATTTTTTTTTAAAAATCTCATTAAAATAGTTGGAGTGTTCTTTATATCTTTTTAATAGATTTTACTCAAAAAAATTACTCTCATTTAAAAATAAAATTTTTTATCATGTGCTTTTAAGATATAAATAAATGTATAATAAATATATTTTTTAATAATTAATTTATATAAAAATAATAAAAATTAATTTAAATTTAATTAATTGATTAATTAAAATTATTTATGTAATAATAATATTAAAATAAAAATTAATTTTTATTATTTTTATATAAATTAATTATAAAAAAATATATTTATTACATTTTAATAGGTTACTTTAAGAAACACATAAACCCTCTAAAAATTACAAAGATTTTATTTAAGATACTCCTTAAAAAAACCTAAGATAGTCTGATTGGTGGGTCATACTTCTCGAAGCATATATAATGGAATTTCTTTTAAGATTCCATAGAATCCCTACAATTTCCCACCATTACAGGGAGTCTTTGTTTTTGATGAGAACACGGTCCTGTAGTTTTTTTTTTTTTTGGCATAAGGTGCAAAAAAGCCCCTATTCTGACAATATGGTGGCATATAAGCCCTCCAACCTAGAACGGAGGCAAAACACCCCATATACTCAGAAATCAGTGGCAAATCAGCCCTTAGAGTAACTAGAGCCATTAAGTGGCGTTAGATAAAATTGAAAATTGCAGGATTAGTCCTCAAGTAA